AAAAAAGCTAAAGTGGATAAAGAGAAATACTTTAAATATATATATATATATGAATCCAACTCTGAAAAAAAAAACTAGACTGCTAACTAAAAGGTTGACAGTTCGAACACACCAGCCACTCAATAGGAAAAAGGTGCGATAGTCTGATTCCATAAAGATTATAACTTTGGAAACCTATGACGCAGTTCTGCTGTATCCTCGAACGTCATTATGAGTCACATAGACTGGGTGGCAGTGGGCTTGGCTTTGGTCAAGAGCTTTATATAAAGTTGAATCGTACGAAATTGCCAATGTTCAAACATTTCTGACATATAAAAACATCAATTTCATATAGTTCAATTTACTATATTCACTTATTTAATCCTTCTAACAATCTTATAAAAATTAGGAACTGTTGATAGCTTCATTTTACAACTGATGAAACTTCAGCAGAGGGAACTTAACCTCGCCATGGTCACACAGCTAGTAATTTAACAGCAAGCAGCTGGGCTCCTATCAGGTCCACCCAGGTCCTGACCATATCATTATGTTATCTCTTATAATGGAAACAAGACGAGCTTGAAGTCTGGGAGTCCAGACCTCAAAAAGCAGTGTCTCGGAAGGAGAGTGAAAGACTCAAACCATAGGCTCTACTGGATTGTACCTTTGACTTCAATGGTGGCATTTGCTTTAGTGGCACTTTCAAAGAAATATACGCAGTGGTATTCGCCTGAATCCTCAGCTCTTGGCTTAGTGATCCTGCAGAGACGAGAAGGGAAATCAAGTGAGGAGGTTGGGAGAAGTAACATGATATAACAAAAGTGGAATCAATGGGGCAACCAGGAACCCTACTCTCCAAATACTGCCCCTTAATGCAACTCACCATCCCTAACTAAAAGCAAAACCTTCCCATTTGTATCCCAAAACATTAACGCTTTCCTCCTTTCTGGCTGGTAGGCATACAGAGATGAAATAATACATAGCCCCTAGCCTCAGGGTGCCTCAGTCTACCCGGAGAAATGTTGTTGTTAAGTGCCATTGAGTCAGTTCCAACCCATAATGACCTGTTTCCAAGGAGCAGCTGGTGAGCTGGAGCCACTGACCTTGTAGATCAAACCAGCCTTGGGGTCCAGTGCATTAACCTGCAGCACCACATTAGGACTCCCAGTAGGAGAAATAAACATGTGAAAACAAGACATCAAAGTAGAGGGCTGTACAGAACTCTCCAGTCTACAATCAGCTACAGAGAATGGACCCATGACTCCAAACTGTTTGCTCACCTGGTGGTTCCAATCAACACAAGAGCAGAAAATAAATATAATTCGTTCTCTAAAGACCTTTTTTGGTAGTTGTGTTCTTCCTAGTTGGTGTTTTAGTAGTATGTTGTTGTTGTTAAGTGTCGTCGAGTCGATTACGACCCATAGCAACCCTGTAATAGGGTTTCCAAGGAGCAGCTGGTGAGCTTGAACCACCGACCTTGCAGTTCAAACGACTTTGTAGTCTGATGCATTAGCCCCACAGCGCCACACCAGGACTTCGTTTTTGTAGTATGTGCTTCATTAAGTCTACTCCCTAACCAGATTGCAAGTATGACTAAAGGAAGAAGAAAAATATCTGCCAAAAATAAAAACATCCGCCACAGGGAAACCAACTAAATTAAATTCTTATCACAAACTCCAAAGTGTGCATGGTCTGAGCCCCACCCAGCTCTCAAGCTTCCTTCCCTGCTACCTCCCAGCCATGCTGGTCTCTTTTCAGATTTTCAAAGTGCCGGGTGTGTTCCTCAAAACCCTCACACAGGCAGTGCCCCACACAGAATGCTCTTCCCATTAGTTAGTCCCGCTAACTTCCATCAGGTCTTGATGTATTTGTCACTTCCTCTCACCACTAATCAAAATCACACACCCTCTTCTTGACATATTTTCTCTTATTGCTGTTATTGTTTGATGTCATCAAGTTGGCTCCGGCACAACAGAACGAAATACTGCCCAGTCCTGGGTCAGCCTCACAACTACTCTTACACCTGAATCCACTGCTGCTACCATTGTGCTAATCCATCTCATTGGGGATCTTTCTTGTTTTTTCACTGACCCTCCACTTTACCAAGCACGATGTCCTCCAGGGAATGGTCCCTCCTGATAACAAATCTGAAGAATGAAAAACACTATCTTGCCATCCTGGCTTCTAAGGAGCATTCTGGTTGTACTTCTTCCAACACAAATTTCTTTGTTCTTCTGGCAGCCCATGGTACTTTCAATATTCTTCTCTAATAGCGTAACTCAAATGTATCAAATCTTCTCTGATCTCTTAATGTTATTGTTGTTGTTAAGTGCCGTGGAGTTGGTTCTGACCCATAGCGACCCTGTACAGGGTTTCCGAGGCTGTAAATCTTTACAGGAGCAGAAAGCCTCATCTTTCTCCCGCAGAACAGTTGGTAGTTTTGAACTGCTGACCTTGAGGTTAGCAGCCCGATTCGTAACCACTGTTCTGTAATTCTTCAGAAGAGCCCTATTTCAATGTGTGCTTATGTTTCTTGGATTGCTTGATTAATTATCCGTTTCCCCAACAGACCACAAGTTTGGTGAGAGTGGGAACTGTTTCTTTGGTGTGCAATTCTATACCTAGCAACTGCCTGCAGCCTGGAAGACAACAGGGGATGAATGTCAAACCAATGATTGGATGGGCAGGAACTCAGACTGAAGAGGTGGGCAGCAATCCAGGCGAGCTGAAATAGGAGTGGCAGGCAGGACTGTAGGAAGTGGGTATGGCCAGAGCAGCACTTCCTCGGAATCTCACAGAGCAATCCCAAACAGTCATCCTTACCCAGAAGCCCAGCTTCACACCGGCCCACTCTATGCACTCTGACCTCCACACACACCATGTAGGCCTATGTAATTACAGAAAGCTGACAAACAGCAGCCTCCAACTCAGAGGACAAACACTGACGTAAAGCCGGCCTCCTGCTTCTTTGCTCAGTGGTAACAATATGCTGCTGTTGCTGTTCAATGTCACGACTCACAGTAATCCACACAGCCTTTCCGAGCAGCAGCTAGTGGGTTTGAACGGCCAATCGCCACATCAAGACTTCAAAATATGACACAGATGACAGTCCAATCTCCATGGCACTAGTTAATGTCTGAGAGAAATGACTAGACACTGGCTGACCTAACCTATTTATCTGTCTCACTGTTCATTCCAACACAAAAGCCACAAGGTTAAAAAATGATGCTTACAGAGATCTAGCCCATATATCCAAATTGTCTCAGCAGAACCATGCAGCATGATATTCTAACAGGGGCTGTCAAGAGATCTTCATTTAACACAAACAGCCTCTTTTTAAATGCATATGCTCCCAACATGAAAACAGATATAAGTAGTTGTCCTACATTCCCAAGTATTCCAGAATTTGCAGGGAGCAGCATCAACAAAGGGGATTTTTAAAGTTTGTAAAAAAAATGGGATGAAATGATAATGGAAGTTTTCCATGTACTTTGTAAAGCTATTTCTGTATCTCTTGAGGACTTAAATTGACACTAAGGTCCTTGAGAAAGGAACAAGATGGCTCCCAAGCTTGAGGTCATTCCAATGTGTTCAGATCTCCCTTATCCCATTCCCTGGACGAGGTATTGAAAAGTGAATAAAGCAAATGGAAACTGTCCCCTACAGGTTGGCAGAAGCAGGGTCCTGAGCTGGCAGGACAGGCTCTTCAGCTGCCTAACTGGGCTGACCAAAGGACTCAGCAGTTGCTATTCTACCAAATGCAGGAGGACCCAGAAACCCAGAGACGCTCTAGTGACGTAGAGCATCGCTGGAGAGCTTCAAAAAAGCTGAGGGGAAAAGAGGGGAAGATGCAGGTACAAAGAGGCAGGTGTGCATTGTGCAGCTCAAAGCATTGTGGGTGACATCATATGAGACCCAAGAGAAACAAGAGGGGGTATCTGCTACCCTGAAAGAGGTATTACAGAAAGTAAGCATGTACAGTGAATAGACAGAACAAAAGTAAATGCCTTCGATTCACCCAGCATCTCTATTTAATTAATCCTTTCCTAGTGATAAAGAGCTGTGGTGGTTAAGGGCCATCGAGTCGATTCCAACTCATAGCAACCCTGTACAGGGTTTCCTAAGAGGGGCTTGAACCACCTATCCTGGTGTGGCACTGTGGGTTAAGGCACTGAACTGCAAAGTCAGTTTGAACCACAAGGTAGGCAGTTCAAGCTCACCAGCCGCCCCTAGGAGAGACGCTATACAGGGTCACTATGGGTTGGAACTGACTCAACGGCACTCAACAATAATGGCACTGGTTAGCAGTCCAGTGCTCATCCTGCAGCGCCAAACCAAGATTCCACAGTAATGGTGTTGTTGTTAAGTGTTGTTGAATTGGTTCTGACTATAGTAACCCTGTAAAGCGCTTCCAAATAGTGGCTGGTGGCTTTGAACTGCCGACCTAGAGTCTTGAAAACCAGAAGACACGGAATCTAGACTTGGTTCTGCTACGCATAAGATATACTACTTGACCTTGCGTGTAGCCAGTTAACCTTTGAGTCTCTGTGCCTAAAAATATGAGACTGGCTCCCTCTCATAAATTCATGTGGATCAAATAAAATCAAGGGTATGAAACCACAGGGTCCATAGGCCTTCCTGGTTCCACTCCAATGCCCTCTTGCTTTGCAACGCATCCTCCTGTCAAGCAGGATTAAATGATTCTCTTAATCCATTTTCAATCATAAACAATATCATCTGAAAGGTGAGGTGCCATGTGTTCTAGACATTCCAAAAACCACCAACTCTTTAAGGGGCCATGTAAATCCAGCCAGTTAAGTGCCACCATTCTTCACCTGCTGTTTCTGGGCTATTTTCACCGTATCCACTGGTCCTCATCACATTACGATGATATTATAAAAACAAACAAATCTGTTGTCATTGAGTTGACTCTGACTCATGGTGATCCCAAGTATGTTAGAGCAGAACTATGTTCCATAAGCTTTTCTGCTGTAAACCTTTTTCTCACGTAAGACTTGCACATGATGAAAAGTGCAAATCTTATGTGTATATTTGCGAAGCCTTCTTGAACCCAGCCCTGTCTTGTTAGATTCATTCATGTTGTATGTAACAACACAGTTTATTGCCATTTTAAGGAAACTCTTTACTTTGGAGTAATTTTAGATCTACAGAAAAGTTGCAAAGATAGTACAGAGAATTCCCTTACACCCCACACCCAGTCCCTCATTGTTAACATCTTACATTACCATGGTACCTTTGTCACAACTGAACAACTGACAGGGTGACACTGTTAGCCATTTCAAGTCAGAGTGACCCATGGGAGGAGAAGGACTGCCTCATAGGGCTTTCTAGGTTGTAATTAAAAGAAGCAAACTTTTTCTTGTGAATTGGATGAAGGCTTACAGAGCAGATGTTTTCCATTCAAGAATTCCTACACGTTTTGTTTCATGCTGTGGACTGCAATCCTCACAGTGTTAACTTATCCCACTCCCTGCCTGTGTTTCCTGTTTCCATTCCTCCTCCTTTCCTAACTCTTCTGAACACTGTCCTTGGGTAAATGTTGCCCTTTTGATCTCAAATGGTTGACTATTCTAAGGGGTGGTGTACTACCCTAGTTTTACTGTTGACCTGTCTAGTGTTTGAACAGCTAAAAATTGAGTCATGAGAGTTCATTTCCAGACCTGAAGCTCCATAGGGTTTTCCAGATGCAGATCGCCAGGACTTTCTTCAGCGGTGCATCTGGGTGAATTCTGGGTTACTAGTTAAGTGTTTAACTGTGTGTCCCATCCAGGGAACCAGAGATGATATTAAACATTATAAAAGGCTAATTCATTAGGAAATCTCCTAGTGGACAGATCCCTTGGTGAGATGTCTTGCTCTAAGACTTGTGAAGGAGATTTCCATCTGACTTCTTAAACAACTGGATTAGGTCTAGAGAGCTACATTCTAACTGTGACTCTTCTATTGACTAACATTGTGAGCCTGGGCAAATCACTCCTTCCTGCCCTCTGTAGGATCATGGTGATGAGAACATTTGTAATGGTCTCCAAACCTCACTGCTCATCAGAATCATTTAGCAAGCTTCCATAGATTCCTAGGCCTTACCTGAATGTCCAGTTGTTGTTGTTAAGTATTGTGGAGTCGGTTCCGACTCATAGTAACCCTGCATAGGGTTTCCAAGGCTGTAAATCTTTACGGGAGCAGAAAGCCTCATCTTTCTCCTGCGGAATGGCTGGTAGTTTCAAACTGCTGACCTTGAGGTTAGCAGTCTGATTCGTAACCACTACGCTACCAGAATGTCCAGAGGAGGATCCAATCGATCCCCTGCCCCACCCACCCAGAATGATACTGGATTACGAGTGCTAATTAAGCTCAACCCCACACCTGCCCATGTTCCCAGGAGCAGTCAGCCCCTCCCTTCTCACCTGTATTCCATGTTGCTGGCATTCTTCCGGGTGGCTGTCAGTTCGACCCCATTCTTCGTCCAGTAGCTGTGTGTAAGGGTGTGAGAGCTGGAGGTGAGGTTACACTGCAGGGTCGTGGGAGGGGCAGGGAAATCTCGGAAAATGATGTCTTCACTGGTGACAATCCTTGGTTCTGTAATAAGAATGAATAATGACAGGGGGCCATAACCTTCCATCCTCTGCAGCCCTGGCCTGAGAGGTGGATGGGAAGGATGGGGGAGACTGGAAGAAGAGGGGAGCACATAGGACTACACGAGGAATTTCACTTCACCACTTTGGAGGAAGTCAAGAAAGAAAAAACAATGATTATAAGCAAATGACCACTAGCGCAGACAACAGCCTGAAGACCAGTTGGCCTGGACGTGAAAGAATGAGAGCATTACAAGTGTTTGTACTGGTAACAGTCACTTACGCCTGTGAATACCACCTTTTTATAATGGAAGAACCACCAACCCATTCAGCTTCAGTTTAGAAAACTCCGCCTTGCAGTTGTGAAGACAAAGGCAGAACCATTACGTTAAGTCATAAATGGAGTCTCTAGGCCTTCGCACAGTCATCGGTATAATGATCTAATACACGTATGACTTGTCCCGCATTTAAAGCCAATAAACCTTCTCTGGCCACCCAGCGATGGCCATTCTTTAGGCAGAAAAAGAATAGCTCCTAACAGCGAATTTCCCCTGGGAAGTCTATTGCAGTTCCTGAATTTTGCCAAGGCAGAATTCTTAAAGAACGATCAATTCTTCTCTCCAGCCCCTATATATTCCCCGAAACCAATTTTTTTTTTTTTTCCAGAATTGCACTTGAAAATGCAGTCCATCCTGGGATAATATAATCATTACCAGAGTGCAATATGTATTGGTATTCTGGGCTCCTGGAATTTTAGAGCTGAAAGGCTCTTGGAGAGTTCATTAAATCCCATCCTTTTAAAGCTAGAAAGAAGAAATGCCTTGCTCAAGGCCACAATTATTATTGGCGGCAAAGCTGAGCCTAAGACAACACATCTCTGTTCTGCCCCCACCCTGCCCCCAACCAACCCCCCCACCTTCCATCCTAGAGCAAACTGTAGCTTTGGCCTCCTTGTTCTATCCTGGGCTAGACAACCTGGGTCACTAGTTCAGTATCTACAAAAATAACCAATTTGAGTCAATATCATAGCACACTGAGCAGAAATCTTTAAGTCATACTATGTTATTTCTAAAAGGTTAATCTCTAAAGCACTTTCAAATCCATCACTCATATTAAAAGTTGAGATGTTTTCTAAGTTTGTTACCTGTCTTCCATCATTTCCCAGGCTTCATTCTTTCTCTACGTTGCTTAAATATTATCCGGTACCATCGAAACGAACATCTTTTCTCCTCGAAATTAGAAGCACTTGTTGTTTATTTTCCCACTCTTTCTCAGAAATCCTAGATGGGCTTCCCATGTCCCAGAACCTGGCTACTTCCTGTCTCCAATCCCACAGCAGCTACCTGAGACTATCTGATGCCAGTGCTGACCCTCACCCTTCAGGACAAGGCACTCTCCCTCCACTGGACAGGAATTCTGCTTACTTTACAGGAAAGGTGAGAAGACAGGAAGGTCATGGGACACTTGGAAAATGGAATGTCCAACAACCTCCTAATCAATGTAACGTCTCTCACTGTACAGCCAAGATCTTCAGAGAAACTTGTGATAAATAATGCACAACCTCCCCCACCCTCCAGTTTGCTCAATGAATGAATCCATCCTAACTATTTTCCACCTCTGGCAAAAAGACAGTTGTTATCTTCCATTCCGCACTGGTAACATCAAACAGGGTCTCTATGTACAAATAATGGAGGCATAGCAGCCACTAAGACAGAAGCAGATGCATGTCAACACGTTAGCGCAGTGGTGTCCTGTGGCTTCCCAAACACACTAGACAGAAGCCAAGTCCTTGGGCCTTAAGAAGTTGAGAACAGCTGCAAACCCTGCAATGGAAGGCGCACACACACACATACCACCAGCAGAAAGCATCACAATTCCAAGTAAAAATCAAAACCAAGCAAAAAACGAGAGCGAGAGAATGATAAAACCAGTACTCCACAGAAGAGAAATGAAAAAAATATATAAAGGCAACATTAAAACCCAAACACACTTGGAGGGCTTTTCACTGAATTTTTTTATTCTCCAATTTCATTTCCTGTCCCACTTGGGACGCTCCTTCCGGTTCTTCCTCTCAGACTGCACTGAGAAAGGGCGAACTCGAAGAATGAGGCCAAGAGCGTCCAGATGTTTAAATACTAGGCAGCCAAAGTCGAAAGTACCCTTACCTGTCGCGATGCATGACCACAAATGGCGGTGCAGCTTAGGGACACTAAGAAGCTGAAGAGAGCAACCTGGAAGATTTTCCATCAAGAATTCTTGGAAAGCAAAGGAAACTGGTTTTTGTTTTTTTTTCTTTTAAGGGGCGTGTCAGCTGGGAGTAAGCAGGATAATGTAATTAGGTTTAAATATGCTTCGTTCGGCACCATAGGCGAGCTGTGGGGTGGGGTTATCTGCCTCCTGTGATCGCTGTATATGGAAACCAGTCTTGGACTGAGCTCCTCGGCCACAGTGCCACATCTGCATTCTGCACCAGGGTGAAAGTGGGGCTTTATTCCTCCCTGTGGCCAACCATAGCCCAGTGAAAGTCCAAGAGAGATGAACTTTTAGCAGAAGTGCCTTTTTTTTTTCATCCTGTTTTTGTTGTTGTTTAACCTGCAACTGACTCCTGTTTAGATGCAGCGGGTAGGAGACCCTTACCCTTGCCATCATGCGTGTGTGGTGGAACATGCCAGGGCCTGACAGAGAGCCCAGAAACTCGGCACATTTATATTCCCGCCTTACATCACAAGGATCTGTGGGGAAGTACTGCCAGGAGGCGATTCTTAGATGGAAGACTTCAGCCAGTGAAGAAACTGAGATCATAAAGCAACCCAATCAGAGTTGAATTCAGGGAGTTAAATAGGGCGGGGCAGCAACCTGGCTCCCCAAAACATTTAATTAGGGATAACTAACAGAGGAGTCTGTGGCAGAGATTGAAAGTAGTCAGGGTTTGGGTCAATAATATGCAAAGCCCCCCAAATTAGAAAGCCTGCTTCCAAGTAAACTGGGGAATACTAGGTACTCAGGGCTGGTAGACAGGTATCTATCTCAAAGCTTCATCTCTTTTTTTTCCGTTACTCCTCAGGCCTGGCTTTTCTAGAGAAGTATCTGCTTTAGTCAAGCTCCTGAAAGGACAAATAAGCAAACACCCAGTCCAGTCCACTCCTAAAGTCTTCTGCAGACATCTGTGGCCATTTGGGTGGTTCTGTTTTATAAGGAAAGGAGCAAGGGGGCAGGAAAAGGAGTCGTGCAAGGGAAAAAAATCACTGGGTTAATGTTCCCCATTTCCACATAGACAAGTTTTTCTTTTCCCCTTCCCAGAAGCAGGTTCTCTGATTCAACAGTGCCAGCTGTAGCAGACTCCTCTCCAGCCCCTTGTTTTTCACAGGGGGAGTTTTTGAGTTGCTACAAGTTACGATGACTAATTTCCACCTCTTCATGTGAGAAGGTTTGGCGTCAAAGTCGTATTACTTCCTGTGTTGTCATCAAATTCATCATAAAGGTAATTTTACTACTTTTGCTTATTCTTCCTAAATCAGCCAGATCTCTTAGCTTTAAGTAGCCATATATTTCTGAGTCCTTGAAGAGAAGGATCATTCCCCTAACTAAATATAAGGGTGAGTCCAAAAGTATTGCTATAAAGATCATGTTGTTGTTGTTAAGTGCCGTCGAGTCGGTTCTGACCCATAGCGACCCTGTAACAGGGTTTCCGAGGGTGTAAATCCTTACAGGAGTAGAAAGCCTCATCTTTCTCCCGCGGAGCGGCTGGTAGTTTCGAACCACTGACCTTAAGGTTCGCAGCCCTATTCGTAACCACTACACTATAAAGATCATAGAAATCTTTATTACACAAAAATAGCAAAATGTGAAGCTACTGTTCCTCAGCATCTCCTCCATCTAGATCTATCTACTTCTAGATCTATCTACTTCTGAGGGCGGTATTTCCATCTCTCCAGCCCTTCCCTAAGAATTCTGTGCTCTTTGATTTACATCATGTCAAAACACCAGGTTAGACATCCTGGAGGGGCTCAAATCATGTTCCTTTACAGTGATGAATTTGGGGAACAAAAAGTGTGATGGGATTACAATCAGGACTATAGTAGGGTCAATGGGGTGAGGCTTCCCAATAAAATTCTCTTGGGCTAGCCCTTGCTGCCCTCAAATACTGAGTAGGTACACTGTTGTTGTTAAGTCCCATCGTGCCAGCCCTGACTCATAGTGACCCCATATAGGGTTTCTGAGGAGTGGCTGGTGAATTTGAACCACCGACCTTGAAGTTCAATGCAACCCTGCAGTCCAGTGCTTCTCGTACAGCGCCACACCAGGACTCCAGGGACACACTGTAGTGATGGGAAAAACTCCTCACTGCAACTTTCCTGACCTTTTTCTCACTAGTTTTCAGTTTTCATTTCCTAATGAGCCCCCATGATTGTCCTGTGTTCTTTGAAAACAAAAATCTCTCAATATGTTCCCTTCTGGATCTCAAAAATAGTCACCGTAACTTCTGCACTGACCTGTCTGCCTTGAATTTAACGGGCCCATCAGTTTAACTGTTTTGACTGGACCTTTTCTTTGAAGGCACCCTATAGAGACTAAGAAAAGAGTGTTACTAACACAGCTTGCCTGCAGGTATCCACTGATGGCAGAGACATGTTTACATAGGTTTTGTTTGGAATAAACATGAGCTAGATACCTGGTAGCAATACTTTCTGACTTACCCTCATCGAGAGTTACTATCAGGTCTGATGTGAGGCTAGTGGCTCCTCCCTCCCTTCTCCTTTCCACCATACAAGTGGTGGTGGTAGTTATGTGCCATGGAGTCAGTTCCAACTCATAGTGACCCTGTACAGGGTTTCCGAGGCTGTAAATCTTTACGGGAGCAGAAAGCCTCATCTTTCTCCCGCAGAACAGCTGGTAGCTGACCGTGCGTTTCGCAGCCTGATTCGTAACACCTACGCTACCAGAGCTCCTTCAAGTAGTCAGTCGTTTTCCAAGAAGAGAAGTGGTAAAAAAAAGACCCTGTGTCTGCTAGCTCACTTGGACCTGTTATGATCAATGAAGGGAAGGATTCTAAGCCAGCTCAGCTCACCCATCCTTCATAGGAACAGGGCTGGAATTTCGTTTCCTCTTTGTTCAAGCCACCAAGAGAGGGTCACAGTGCATGGCTTCTGGAGTTCGCAGCCTTGGGGAGGAGGCACTCTGTACTAACAATCCATTATCAGAGTTGATCTTGACTTCAAAATAGCATGGTGGGCTTTTAGAAAAAGCACAAAGCTGGCAGCTAGGTGTCACCTGGCTCCTCATAGGAAGATGTAGGGAGCAGGTCTCCGACTGCTGTTTGTTAGAGAAACAGACAGGAGACTGGGCAGGCAGGGCTGGTGGGGAGGTACTGCTACAGTGGAGTTCTGGGATCAGAGAAGTACATGCTACTGCTTCAGAAAAGAAAAGAGCTGGAACTCTGGGAATATCCAAGCTTACATGCCACCCAACAACCAGAACACACCAGCACACTGCCCCCTGGGCAACATTCCCATCACAGAACAAGATGACACCAAGTCACAGTGAGGGAAAGGCTGGGCACACACAAACTGAAGACCACACACATCAGAGAGGTGAAGGCAGCTATTCAGAGAGCTTCAAACAGATGAACAGAAGAAATAAAAAGTAGTTAGATTTGGGGGAGGGGAGAAGGGGGGAACAAAAATAAAAAAGGCACCAGAGAAGAAATCAGCAAAAGGATAGCAGGAAACCTACTACAAAATTAAAAGGGCAGGAAAGAAACCATTTCAACACTACCCTGGTTTGACTGCCTGGTTTTAGAAATCTTCAAACTTGATTTTTTTAAAACCTTCCCAGTTGTCCCTCCCCAACTCTCCCCAGCGCAGGTGATTTTGGACAGTCACGGGTTTCCCCAAGTTCTTTGTTCCTGAGGAGAAAGACACAGAGAAGGGGGTGAGGGTAGGGGTAAAGGAGGTAGAGAGGAAGATGCAAAGAAGGAAGGGGAAAAAAAAAAGTCGCCACAGATGTTTTTATACACTACAACCAGAAGGGTCGTGGGTTTGAAAAAACGAAGACAAGGGGTGGGGTGAGTGATCATACTGGGGAAGCAGGGAAGGAAGCAGAAGGGAAGGGGCATCGGGCCACCTCTAATGACTACTGTAGGGTGCTGGACTCACTCTGAAGGACGCTTATGGTGGCCTGGGCTCGAATCCATGTTATGGAGGGGTTTTGTCTCAAATCATTCCTCTTGGGGTCGTTGCTGGCCCTGCACTCGTAAGTCCCAGAGTCCTCCAAGGTGAGCCGGGTTATTCTCAGCACACTCACGCCGTTTGACCCGTAGGCGGTGTTTACGGTGACACGGCGCTTCCGAGCACCGTCCCACAGCTGTCTGAAAGACTCTGCCCGGTTGACTTCTGCGTACCACCACTGGATCTCTGGCGTGGGGCTCCCGACCACGTCACAGTACAGCTCAAAGGCGTCCCCCGTGAGCTTAGTTTCTGACATGGGCGACTTGACAAACCCAGCTAGAGGGAGGGTGGGCAGGGATGCAGTGACAGGCCAATCAGAAAAAAAAAAAAAAAAAAAAATCAACAGGTGTTAATAGTAATTTAAAGAAAAGGAAAGGAAAAAGCAAATGAGCTGCAAAGAACAACAAAAAAAATAAAGGATTCATTTTTAAACTATAAAAGAGACAGTAATAGCAATTCATACAAGGAAGAACCACCCTGAGAAGCTTGTCAAGCAAAGGCAGGCTAATTACAAGCTGGGGCAGCCCCAGTGCTGGCCAGGCAGAAGCAAGCCCTGGAAAGCATTTTAGCAATGGGCCCAGCTGGCAGGAATAAGAACGCCTCAAGTCTTCGGGAAGAATCTCTTGTTAGAGCACAAACCGTTACCTTTCCAAACTCAGGTGAGTGATGAAAGGTAACCGGAAGCAGCAGGAGGTTTAGATGCCAAGTCAGGATCTTGTTTGGGATGGGTGAACACTTTGTAGTGATGCCTTTGTGAGCCTCAACAAGGAATATTAATTAACTGACCTAGTGGTACCTTGTCTTGGGATTCAGAGTTGAAATTTCAACGCAAAAGGCAGTAAATACTTCTCTCATGCAAATTAGCCTTTCCCTAATCTTCCCTTAGCCTATGGCAAACACACAATGCAGTTGTCTGTGACTAGGCGGTTTCTTTCTCCCCAAATTCTCTCTCACAGGAGGACAAGGTAGTCATACTTCAAACTCAAGTGAGATATTATCATGGCGGTCAGCTCGGGAGTGGAGCCAACAGCAACCGTAACCCAACTCATCTCCAGTGAGTGGAGGGAAGGGACGATGTCCTCCACAATCCCACACAGAAATCGCCTGCAAAGACAGTCTTAGAAACAACACAGTACTTGACAGGCTTTCTCTACTTAGCGTCCAGCTCAAAAAGGATGAGAAAATGTAGGCTGACGGGCCAAACTCTAAGGTGTTGGCCAGGCCTCAACCAACACCGCAGGCTGTACCCAGGAACAGAAGTTGATGCCTACTTCCACTTGCACACAATTTGCTTCAGGTTATAACTTCCATGAGACAAGGTGGCAATGGCAGGAAAAGGAAGAAAAAGGCCAGGTTTGTTTGAAAAAAGTTTGCAGTTGGATCCACAGAAAACTTAAATCAGCACACGCATGCTCTCTCACCCCACGCATGACCTCTCACCCATCCACCCCAGCTCAGGTTTGTTCCGCATGTTTACCAATTCAATCAGTGTCTGAAGGTACCAGGCAAGAAGCTTAAAACACAGCACACTTTCAGTGACTGGGCAACTTCCCCTGAAAAGTCTGGCTCATGAGCCAAACCCCACTCAGCAATGAACAGAGAATAGGGCCAGGACATTCCAGAGGAAAGCTATGAAGTAAACGAAACAACTTTCTAGACTTTAGAAGCCAGAGAAGTAACACAAGGCTTGTTGAAAACGGAGGCTATTAAATGAAGACATTTCTTTTTGTAACAAAAATGTTTGCTTTCGGAAATAAACCCCACTCCATGGATCTATTGTTGTTGTTGTTAAGTGTCATCAAGTTGGTTCCAGCCCATAGCGACCCTGGATCTGTAAGTGGTCCATAAATATAAAAATGGATGCCACTGAGTCAGTCACCTGTGGCTCAGGACGACCTCATGTGTGTCAGAATTGAACTGTGCTCCGGAGGGCTTTCAATGACTGGTTTTCCAGGAGTAGATTGCCTGGCCGCTCTTCTGAGGTACCTCTGGCTGGACTTAAACCTCTAATCTTCTGGTGAGCAGCTTTAATTAACTGTTTGCACTATCCAGGGACTCAAGAATGGTAAAGGAAGTACTATACTCCATCAAGCAAGGCTCAAAACCTCCAAATTCATCCTATAGGTTTTGAATTCATGATCTAGTTCAGATCAGAAAGGGTAGCAATGCAGGAATGAACAGGTTTGGACAAATGTGCTATTTTGAAAATACCATTCTAAACCACCTCTTCAGATCCACTTTCAGTTCCTTGTAAGAACTACCTATCAGATAGCCCTCCAAGTCAAACAGTTCCCATTCTCAGTCACAGGGGAAGTTTTAGAATAAGGGAAGGGAAACACCAAGCCCCTGCATGAAGAGGCTTCCCCAGGGAGTGGCATCCAAGGTCTTGCAAACTGCAAACTGCTTGCCTGTCACCATCAATGCCCACTTAACATAAAGGGAGGAAAGCTGGTTCCATTCATTCTACCATGGGTTCTAACACCAGAGAACACTGGAAATCAGTAAATCCCCAAAGAGTAGTACATATATTTTAATCCTATTCTTCTGAGTTTTGTCCACTCAGCTATGCCCTTAAATGATGCTCTGCAAATCTGTTACCAGATTTGTACTTTATCCCCTGTAAATTGCATTTCAAAATGGGCTTACGTTTTAGCCTGCTTGTCAACCTGTTGGCAGCACCAACACAAAAGGGGTGTCAGCAAGTACATTCAGAACCACCAAGAGCCCACACAGTTCCAGGCTAATCCTGAATCCCAACATCACACAATGGAGAGCTAGTTGACAAACGGCCTGAATGTTATTATCCCCACTGCCCAGAACTGAGCAAGCCACCCAATCTGAGGCCAAACCCCTGGACAAGACAGAGGTGGGAGAGGAAGGAATGCTGATCTGATTTACTTTGCTTTCTATTTGAGAGGATGCAAATGAAACAAAGTCAGAAATGTTCTTTGAATTAGTAAACTATATGATGTATATTTAACCAGTTTATTTAAAGTCAAGATTTTAAAAATCCCTTAAAACACCAACAATAACGTTCTTTCTGTGCTCTTTTTGATGACCACAATAATATTGTTGTTGTTAAGTGCCACAGAGCCGGTTTGATTCATACCAACCTGGTATAGGGTTTCTGAGGCTTTAAATCTTTTGCAGGAGCAGAAAGCCTCATCTTTCTCTCAAAGAGAGACTGGTGGGCTCAAACAGGTGATTTTGTGGTTCATAGTCCAATACTTATTCTATGGAGCCACGTGCTCCCAATAACAACAAGGGGTCTTTCAGAAAACTAAAGTTGTATTATCTTTTAGCTCCATTTTGTCACGAACTTTTTAAAGCTTTTCATACAGGAAATGCACCCATCACATAACATCTGTTGAGAAAACATCTGATTACATATACATTGGTGGGCCCGTAAGTACTTTGCTGTTCTTGTTTTTTTATTTTAAAGAGAAAGAAACTCTCCTTTTATTTACTGTTGTTCATGTTAAGTACTGCCATGGAGTCAGTTCTGAGTAATAGTGACCCTGTCTGTATAGGATTTCCAAGGAGCTTGAACTGCCGACCTTGTGGTTCAAAGTCCAGCACCACACAACAGGAGTCCTTCTATCCCCCTCACGTTTTTAAAGGAACCCTGGTAGCACAGTGGGTAAATGTTGAGCTGCTAACAGAAAAGTCGGGCGTTCAAATCTACCAGCCTCTCTGCAGACCCAAACACAGACAGTCTGCTTCCATAAAGATTTATAGCCTTGGAAATTCTACAGATACATTCCGTTCTACAGAGTCACTATGAGTCAGAAATGACTTAACAGCAGTGTATGTATGTGTGTGTGTTCGGTGTTGTTAATCTGAATGGTTTTTAAGATCGGGCTGCCTACCTCTGGGTCAGCAGTTTGAAACTACCAGCTGTTACACAGGAGAAAGATGAGACTTTCTGCTCCCGTAAAGATTCACAGCCTCGGAAACCCCGTCCAGGGTCACTATGAGTCGGAACCAACTCCACAGCATGTAACAACAACCTGGTGTGTAATGTTGTAGGATAAGCATTAGACTACTGCCGCAAGGCTGGCGGTTCAAACCCATCAGCTGCTCCTCTGAAACCCTATACAGGTTTGTTGTTGTTGTTAGGTGCCATCGAGTCAGTACCGACTCATAGCGACCCTATGCACAACAGAATGAAACACTGACCAATCCTGGGCCAACCTCACCATTGTTGCCACACTTAAGCCCATTGATGCTGTCACTTTGTCATTCCATCTCGTTGGGGATCTTCTTCTTTTTCTGACCCTCCACCTTACCAAACATGATGTCCTTTTCCAGTGATTGGTCCCTCCTGACAATATGTCTGAAGTATGAGACAAAGTTTGGCCATCCTGGCCTCCAAGGAGCATTCTGGCTGCACTTCTTCCAACACAGATCTGTTTGTTCTTTTGGCAGCCCATGGCACTTTCAATATTCTCCTCCAACACCATAACTCAAATGCATCAATTCTTCTACGGTCTTTCTTATTCACTGTCCAGCTTTCGCATGCATATTAGGTTACTGAAAATACCATGGCTTGGGTCAGGCATACCTTAGTCCTCAAGCTGACATCTTTGCTCTTCAACATTTTAAAAGCACTTGTGCAGCAGATTTGCTTAATGCAATACATCGTTTGATCTCTTGACTGCTGCTTCCATGAGTGTTGATAGTTGGTTGATCCAAGAAGAATGAAGTCCTTGACAACTTCAATCTTTTCTCCATTGATAAGAAAGTTGTTTATTGGTCCAGTGGTGAGGATTTTTGTTTTCTTTACATTGAGATGCAATCCATACCAAAGGCTGTGTTTTTTGATCTTCATCAGTAAATGTTGTAAGTCCTCTTCACTTCCAACAAGCAAGGTTGTATCATCTGCATATCGCAAGTTGTTAATGAATCTTCCTCCAATCCTGGTGCCACGTTTTTCTTCATCTAACCCACTTCTCGGATTATTTGCTCAGCATACAGGTTAAATAAGTATGGTGAAAGAATACAACCCTGTCGCACACCTTTCTTAATTTTAAACCATACAGTGTTGCTATGAGTCAGAAATTACTCAACGACACTTAACAACTCAGACTACTTCAGCACGGGACCATGGGTGGGATACAGGCAGGTAAAGGACATGGTTCTGGGCATAGGCTCTTAGGCTGCTGCTTAGGCAGGCAGAACGGGCGGGGCAGGGGTGGTCAGCTTCTTGCTCAACTCTTGCCAACCTCTGCCACCACCCATTCCTTCGACCTTTGCCAGCAGTCCCTCAGCCAACCAAAAGTTGGCTTCCAGTGGAGTCCTGGTGTGATGCTGTGGACTGGACTGCAAAGTCGGTTTGAACCACAGGGTAGGCGGTTCAAGCTCACCAGCCGTTCTTCGGAAACCCCATACAGAGCTGCTATGAGTTGGAACTGGCTTGACAGCATTTAACAACAATAGCATTTTAATAAGATGGTTGCACAGTGTCCAAATTACATAATGCTATTTCACAAAACATAATGTGTGCATTAAGCGACGCATACCTGTTATTATTAAACATGAATACCAGTCAATAAGTAACAGTTTCTGTTACATTTGTTAGGCAGAGTGCCGGGAAGCCAATGAAATTTTTGCAGACAAAAGCTTCATCTTTTTCCAGCAGAATGGCTGGAGGCTCGGACCATGGACCTTGTGGTTCACAATCCAGTACTTACTGTATGGAGCCACCAAGATCCCCAGGCAATGTGTTAAGCCCTTTAGAATCAATATCTCACTTAATCCTTGTTGTTGTTGTTAAAGTGCCGTCGGGTCAGTTCCAGCCCATAGTGACCCTGTATAGGGTTTTCTAAGAGCGGCTGGAGCTGACCTTGCAGTTTAAACTGGTTTTGCAGTCCAGCGCATTAACCCACAATGCCACACTTAATCCTTACAACTGGATTATAAAAATTGGTGCCATTAGTCTCCTTAAATATATAGAAACCAAGGCCTAAAAAGTTAAGTATTCTGGCCATGGTCACAGATAATAAGTTCAAATAGTCTTGCCCAGAATCCAGATGTGAGTAAAACCAAAGCATGGTTTGGCTTTAACACTTTCCACAACAGTAGCTGATGTGTCTTACAGGCTAGAAAAGTTTCTGTAGATACTGGTGTGGAGCCATAGGAGAAGCCCTCGACCTCCAGGTCAGTTTGAACCTCAAGGTCAGCAGTTCAAACTCACCCTCCTCAGATACCCCATACAGGTTTGCTATGAGTTGGAACCAACTCAACAGCAATTAACAACAACAACAATGCTTTGTTACTAATTCCTTTAATTAATTCATCGTTCCCAGCCACAAAAAGCCAGGAACTGTCATTGGAATGTTCAGCATATGGTTGAAGTTATAAGAATGGAGAGGAGCCCAGGATCAGTGAGATCCTACAGCAACTGTGTGTGGCAGGGAGGTGGGGGAGAGAAGACTGTGAGGAAAGACGGTTCTGGAAATTCGAACACCC